TTGAATATCCACACATCCATAGCAACGAAAATTTCAGTGGTAGTCCGAATTTTTAGTTTTTTACTTTATTCGTGTTGTCAATGACGGTGTGAATAAAGTGTTGCTATAAACACTTTATTCATCCTTTCGATTAAACTATTGTTTTAATAGCGAGATTTAACATACAAAATGACCATTTTATTAGTAGAAATTGGAAAAATTATATTATCGCCTATAAATAATTTGACGAATAGCCCGCTTTGTTTTTGAAACACTTTATCCACGTAGTTTATTCTCAAGGTACTCTCATCGGAAACTGACTTCACGGTACGCTCTTCAAGATATGATCGTAGCTTGGGGTTATCCAGTTTTGATAAAGAAATATTGGCACTGAGGAATGCTTCACACAATTCGAAACAATATTATATACACATTTGTAGAATTCTTCAGCTTATTTTTGTGAAGGCTTGTCCCAGTATGCTGAGTTAATAATAGAAAACTTTTTTTCACAGGCGACCTGGACAATAGAATTAATTCAACTTGTGCATGCTTTACTTCTCGCGTTTAATTGAAAGAAGTAAGTAAGTAAGTAACTAATTAAGTAAGTAATTTTATTGTGCTAAAAACATAAAGTTTATACACTCGTCCAAAGGTTACAAGAATGTAATAGTAAAAATAAACATAAAAACTATGCAATACAATACTTATGTAGATTATGAGCTACATGATAAACAAGAAATTACTCAAAATTATATTGAAAATATTCATTGAAACTATAAAAACTATTTTCGGTTAAGACATCCTTGATTTTTTTTTAGAAATTGAGATGGTGGAAGGTTGCGGAAACTCTGAGGTAATTTGTTAAAGAACACTATACAGAAATAGTTCCTGGCAGTTCTGCAACGGTTTATTCTCAAAGTTTCGATTAACAAATTTGTGGACCTGGTATTATAATCATGGAAAGAACTCAGTGTAGGAAATTGATTGATTTGGTTTACTAAAAATTTAAAACAGTGATAGATGTACAACCAGGGCAATGTCAAAATATTTAAGGATTGAAATGAAAATTTGCAATCATTACGATAACCAATACCTGACAGGATTCTAATAGCTCTTCTTTGAAGCCTAAAAAGGTTTTGTAACGAGGCGCTGTGTCCCCAGATTAGTAACCATATACTAAGTGAGATTGTATTAGCGCATAATATGCAATTTTTAATATATTTCGATCAACATGATTTGATAAGTTTCTTAAGAGATAAGTATTTTTAGAAATGATGTGAACAATATAATCCACATGTTCATGCCAAAGTAATTTAGTATCTAAAACAATTCCGAGGAACTTGTTAGTACTTTCCGTATCCGCAAAAGACTTATCTTTCTTCAATGAAAATACCATCTGAACTGATTTGTTCTTATTTACGCAAAGTTTGTTGGCGAAAAACCAAGGTTCCGCTTGCGAGGATATATTCATAAGAGTACTTATTACTAATGAAGATGACATTGCTTTTTTACTAAAAGTAGTATCGTCCGCGTACAATATCGTAAAAAAATCGGGGAAAAAGTATGGCAGATCGTTCAAATAAAATTAAGAAAAGTAGAGGCCTTAAGATGGACCCCTGAGGTACACCATACGCGATTTGTTCTTTATCGGAGACTATACCATCGACAGAGACTACTTGCAATCGATTCAAAAGATACGATGAAATTAATCTAGTGACATCTGGCTGAAAGTTGTAAAAAAAAAGTTTACGGATTAGTATTTCATGAGACATGCAGTCAAATGCCTTACTAAGATCTAGGAAGGCAGACACAAAATATTCACCATCTTGAAAGGATTTAACGACATTATCAATAAAAGATAGAACAGCTTTTTCAGTGGATAAGCCTTTACGAAATCCAAACTGATTTGTACAAAACAAGTTATTACTAATAAAGAATTCAAGGATTTGTTCTAACATTAATTTTTCGAACACTTTAGACAACACTGGAAGAAGGGAGATTGGTCGATAGTTATCAACTTCATTGACATTACCTTTTTTGTATATTGGACATACTAAAGCCAATTTTAAGCAGTCTGGAAAAACCGAGTCAACAATACATTTATTTATTAATTTGGTCAAAGGTGCAATTAGTATATCCTTTACTGATTTTATAACGTCGACATTGAACCCATAAATATCTTTGCTGCTCTTATTTTTTAATTTATTCAATGCCTCACGAACTTGTACCTCTCCAACTGTCCTGAATTTAAAGAACATATGTGACGTGTTATTAACAGATATCATAATTTTAACAGGATCAAGATTAGTATTTGGTAAGGAATTAAGAATATTTTTAGCAATGCTCGAGAAATGTAAATTGAATTCGTTAGAGGAAATTTTTGTAGTTTCATGAATAGTACGTTTTCTACTTCTGTTTATTAATGACCACATAGCTTTAGAATTATTAGAATTGTTTTTAATAAAGACATTGTTGGCTGCAATTTTAGCTTTTTTAACAGCTTCTTCATATTTACGCTTAAAATTATTATACATTATTTTTAAATCCAAAGTCCCATATAATCTGTAAGAACTATATATTAGATGCAGAGTTTCTCGCATGATTTTTAAATCAGGGGTATACCAAATTATATTATGGACCTTGGATCTGTTACACGATAGTTTCTTCTCAGGACAGGCGATATTATAATACAACAGTAGCGTATCTATAAAGATCGAGAACAAATCAGACGTATTAAAGTCGCAATTTTGATCAATGAAACTCCAATCAACTTGTTGTAATAAATTAAAAAACATGATTTTCCCAAACTGTGAGATGGGCCTTACATACTTAGGGATAAATGAGTTATCGAATACAGCTTCCTTTAGAGTAACATTTACACATATTCCAGTATGGTCCGACTGATAAAGTAGTATATCAATAAACGAAAGGAATTGTTTGAAATTGGAACTAATAAAATAAATGTGACAAATTCAAAAATGCAGCATTCATCAAAATTTGAATACCTTACTTTACTGTTTACAGCACACTCTGCAAAAAAAAACAGATTTAGAATTTTCCTCTAACAGTAGTTCGGAATAATTTTTTATCCAGCCGTGGACACTTGCAGAAACTTTTGGCATTTTAGACTCAAAGTTTACGTGTCAATACCAAAATAAGGACTAACAAAATTAAGAACGAAACGGGTAAATGACAAAATGAGTAATTGCTAGAAGGATCCTACCTGAAGAGTTAAATCACGGAGAATTAAGATAATTTTAAGCCCGATGCGGAATATACCAATAAATGGAATGTTTCCAGTTCGGATTAAGATATCTCAACTACTGTTTTTTTTTTCAGGCAAATATTCTACAGAAATGTCTTGGTATTTGGTGAATAAAAGTACAATTTGAAAATTTTACAAAATATGCATAAATATGCAATTAATCGGTAAATATGCAGTAAGATTGAAAAATATACAAAACATGCATTTTTTAAGCCCACTGTCAAAAAAAGAAGTTACGAGTACGCGGCCAGAAAACTTTTTTTTTCTGAATATGTCACAGGAATTATGAATTTTGCATACAATCCGAGCCTTAATTCAGACACTATCCTAAAATGGATCGTAGATTAGAGTAGCTGGACCACTGGGGCTAACCAAATCAACCTTTAGTTCGTAGGTTTCATCACCTACGACTGCAATTAGAGTGGGAACTCTCACTATCTCCTGAACACCATTAGGGGTAAAATATTGCTCTAATCTTGCTATGTATGTTTTCCATTTTTTTTTTAACCTGGCTGAAACACTCTGATTTATCCGACCAACGTCTTGTTTACCTTCGGCCTCGCACAATAATATCTAACCGGATAATTTTAATCGACATTGTGCAACTATTACGAGTTCGTCAGAACGAAAATTGTTGCACTAGTCCCCACTTTGTCGTGTTCTTAGTTCATTTAACGTAGGTTTTGGGATGCATTCAGTCGGCTTCAAACTGTTTTATTAAAAAAAAAGTGCGCACATACAAAAAACTAGAAGACAAAATATAAAACAGATAGAACTCTTTCAAAAAAGTCATTTAGAAAGAACAGAAGACAAGTGTAAAATATGTGTTAATAACCTTTGAATAATCGCTTATCAAATCCTGTTCAATGCTTCAGTTGCAGTTTGGGTACATATTGTTCATATTACACCCATAAAAACAAAGCAAATTTAGAAAAGATTTTCGAAACGTTAGCTTATTTTAATATCGTATAAACAATCTATTCTGATCACTTTGTGACGATGGCACGTATTTTCTGAAAGTTTGCAATAACAGCGTGAGGGTTATTTCCACTTCAGTGGACACACAAAGTAACAGATTTCGTCATAGCTATTAACTGAAAACTATCTCTCTAATTAGCATATATGTTAAACAACTATTCTTAATAAAAATGCGGAGTTGTAAAAATTACCTTGAATGTACGTTAGTAGCCACTACTAAATTACCTAAACCAAAATATTGCATACAATTTAGTTGGACATCCGGTTTAAAAAATTAATTATCTGGCAAGCTACAACAGCAGGTAAAGTTTTTTTTAGGCCAGTAAATCCAGAAATAAACAGTGTTATTGTCTGATGCGTGAGATGCAAAATTACTTTATTTTATGTACGTAGGTACTCAGAATAAATAGATATTTTTCTTATTATAAATTTTAATTATGGAATTTACTAGTACTTTTTAAAAAAGTACGAATTTTGTAACACCAAGTAGGTGACAAGTACATCAAATTGTTGTAAGCAACAGTTGGTATGCATGACTGCTCGTACAGTTTACGATTATCAGTTAAACCATTACCGAATATCTAACCTATGATTTGATCGAAGCTACTAAATTAACCCCGAATAGTGAGTCAGGAACTTTAAACATCAGTTTATTATCATATAATCTTCTAATTTCCGTTTGATTGAAATTTTAGTATTACTCGATTATAACTCAATACGGATGTATTTTACGTCAGAGCTGTAACAGAATAGGTAGTTGAGGCAAAAAAAATAAAACTAACATCAAGCCTTTATATGAATACTGAGACATAATAAATTAATACAACAGCTTCAGTTACAACACACAATTTTCACACATAAAATATATTGACTAACAAAATTTCCCTAAAATATACTATATCTAAATCTTCTACCATTCTCATAACTGACACTATTCAGAAGATGTACACAGATAGAAAACAATATCACAAGTCCAAAGCAAATGTTGAGTCCAAAACTGTACAATAAACACGTCACATCACTCATCGTCCTTTTCAGGGTACCAGTAACTTCAGTAATCATTTTCTGTAAAAAAAGGGAGTATTAATGAACGTGCGTAGAACTATTATAAAATAATTGCTGAACGCCTTATAAACGTCGTTATGAGTTATTGCACAAGGACAAGATCATGTAAAAGTTTCAAGTGCATACAATCTCTTTATTAGCAAATGCATAGTTGCATAAGGCATCCTTAATAATAGAAATTGTTTTTAAATCAACAAAGAAATCAATTTAAAAAAATACGGTTTAAAAGACTTAAATTTCAGTATTTTCAGTGCAATTTTCAGCCGGTTGATTCATTCAGCTTTGACCATATTACTGTTCGACCGGGTTTAATTTTAGAATTCAAATATGTTAAATATAAAACAAGCTTAAAATGTAATTCTGGCGAATGTGGATATTAGTTAATAATTGTTATTTGTATACTTTACGGTAATTATTCTCTGCAGCACTCACTAAACTTTAAAATTAAATTAAATCCAATTGGTTAGTTTAAATGACAACTTGAATTCGACTATTCACTGCTCGCTTTTACTCTCCCGCTACTTGACTAGACGGTCACACAGGAACTACTTCGCGCAGGAAAGTAAACAGTTCAAATACCTTCGCAGAGTTTGACTCTTTAAGTCTCGCTAGATTAAACTATTTGCGCGCCGCGTGTTTATTTTTTATTGTTTGTTATTAATAACAATGCAGGCAACGAAACACGGTTACTATATTTAGAATTCTACTCGTTTAGGCATCTATTTTTAATACGTGATATGTATTACAGAGTGCCAACTGTTGGACTGTTAAAGTAACTAGTCACGATTTACACGGCTCGTTTAAAATAAATCAATATTTATGCTTATGGAGACAGACAATAGACTAATTTAGCAAGGATGCGAAGCACCTGCATAAGCACTTTTTAAGTGATCAGTTTCACCACTTAAACTTATTAAGAGCTTAGTTTATTGTAAGTGGTAAATTTCACAATATTATTTTTACAATAAGGAGTCCAGTGTAGAGGCTTTGAAAGTACTCATTTTAAAATAATAACAAACAGATTTTAAATGGACTTTAGAACTAACTGGTTTCAAAGTTAAGCACAATATCTGTCGTCTGTCTGTCTATTTATCTGTTTAAATAATATAAAATTGTTCAATGTTTGGTAGCTCCATGCAAAGTAGGTCGCCTATTTCCATCTGTCTGTCGTCTGTCTGGTTGTCCGTCTGTCAAAATTTACGTGTAGTTTAGAATTACAGTTTAGATGATAAGGCGTTAGGCAAAATTTGTCTGTTCGTGTCCACAAAAAATTTGAAGCGTTAGTTTAAAACTTCGGTACGTAAATTCTACTTAGAATGTGTAAAATAATATGTTGTCATATTTGCGGATTACTGGTTCACTCTTATTTTGAACCATTTTGATTTTTTACAAAATATACTAATTAATATCTTAGAAACTGCAAAAGCGATTAATACGAAATTTTGCGCACGCAGAATTTATTTCTTTGTCCTTTCCAAAAATTTTCCATATTAAAATTCTACAAAAAAAACTTTGTTCGAACCCAAAAATTTACATATCACAGTAGTTGGCCTTGTTATTCTATTTTATTTACATACTCGTAAAATTTACGTTACTATCACAATTAGGCGACCAACAAAAACTTATTTTTCAAATACGTAACTTTTTATAACCAAGAACCAATTTACTACTTATTCAAGACTTTACACATTCAAGAAGGAATGATTGCCTGCTGAATAATATAATAAACAGCAGCAGTCTAGTCTTCAATTTAGCATGCATTATTCAAAAATTTCAGAGTTGTGGAATACCACTGATGATGTAAACGCTTAGGATTTTCTAACTTGTATTTCATAAAAATTTGTGAAAAGGAAGCAACGGTTTTTCCACGAAAATCTGCACCAATATTATAATTTTCTAATTTAGTGTTTTACAACCACATTAAAGCACATTTTTGTGTATTGGTATCCCTGACTCTATAATGTGAAATCATTCAGATTATCACATTGGAACGATTTTCATATTATTTCTGCATAATTAGAAAATTCTATAACCCTAATTGAAGATCTGTAAAGTAAACTTAAATTTCGTCTCAAAATAATATGCAAACCTGTTCAACTATTCAAAGCACCCAAAGCGAGGTGAGAAGAAGGAGGACACAAATCTTTTTTTTTTAATTTAACGTCAAAAATGATATTTATCGGAACTCGACTCTAACCTGCATGGCTGCTAACTAATAAAGCTGTCGAAGTAAATACATTTGCTTTAATTTTCTTTCAAATAAAGACGTTAGATTCTATGAATAGAAAAAATAATATGAAAAATTGTTTTATAACATAATTGTTACACGCGCCACAAGCAGCCCGTTTTTCAAACTTGAACTCGTTTGAAATGGACCTTATGAAACAGGTTTTTTAATATACAACTATTATTATTAAGGAGACATTCAGTCACTTTCATTGACAAACGTTAATCATTTTAAAATAAAAAATCAGAAATTGGCAATTAGACTTTGCAAACAAATTCTCAAGAAATAGTTATCTACAAAAAATGACTTAGTCCTTCTGGCTTTGAATACCGTAAAAGTTCAGAAAATAGGAATTATTTCATCGAGTCTATCTTCTTTAACAGGTTTTTTTTTTCAATTCATTTGTATGAATAATTAGGTATACGTGGTAATAATTTTCTAGAGTAAAATCAAGTAAAACCTGTAAATAATAAATTAATTATGCGAAAGTATTATGCGTCATTTTATGTTTTCATCATGTCCAAATTTTACAGTGTAAATATTTTTCAAAATTTAACTAACGTACTCCGGCTCTTATGGTCTATAAGTTAGCCGTCTTCAGTTTAACCTAGATGTCCATATTTTTGAAAAAAAATGTATAACACAATTTTACAATTATTCAACTACGAAATTCTAAAACCGAATGCTCGAAAATCTTGCAAACGTTATCGGAAGCATCATAAATCGATAATTACATTACAGTTACATTATTTTCATGTAATCCATAGATATTTGAGCTGAAACTTTTTAACGCAATAATATCTAAATACACGCAGATTTAAAAATATGACTGGTAAGCTTGTAGATTATGCTGTACTTTTTAAACTGAAATTTATTTAAATAAATTTTAATCAGTCAGACGAAACTAGAAACATGCATTTTCGCGTTTTGTATATTCTGAAACTCCAACAAAACGTTAAATTAAACATTGTAGTTACAATAATTCCCTTGCCTCTCACTCGGCAAGTGAAATATGATTGAATGAAATCGTAATAGAGGAAGCAAATTTAATGAACTTGTACAAAGGGAAGCAAATAAAGTGCTAATTAGATCGGAACTACAGCTGTACATTGCAGACTGCGGCTTTCCGGTTTAAATTAAAAGTTGTAACTTTATTAATGCAATCGGATAAATAATCCACCTACCGACATGTAAAAATAGTGGCATTTAGATCTGTTGAATAAAACAGCTCTGCGGTCAATATAATCGGTATACAGGGCGTTTCATCATAATTAGTGGAAAATATACTGGAAATAGTTTCGTACTGAATAGCGACTTTAGATGTAAATTATCCTTACAGAGCACTCCCAACAGGTTATGATCTAGATTAAACTAACAACTGACCACAAAGTACTCTTGCTGAAAGGATGTTTGTTTGGCACAGCAAGTGTGTTGTTAACACAGCTTAATTTAATATGTTCCTTAGTGTGTTGTATGGTAGTTCTCTCTGTGGATGATGCTGCAGTCATTATTTACTATAGTAAACGGTTTCCACTAGATTATAAATGTTTATAATCAAATCAGCAAGAAACAATTACTATTATAAACTATTTAGTTATAAAAATGACTATAGAATATACTTTTTGATTAATGAAATTCCGCGTTTGTTAAAAAAACCCATCACAATATTTCTTTTGGTTTTTGAGGAAAATTTAGGAAAGGAAAAAATAATTTCATTTTATTCTAGTAATAAATTAGGAACCCACAATCATGTATCAACTTTTATAATAGTATTCTTACTACAACTTTTTTAATAGTACTAATCTTGTGAGATAACGTGAATGCAATTTACATAAACAGTTCTTTAACTGTAGCCAGTGTTACAACATTTTAAAATTTAAATAAAACAACTAAATTGTAAAAAGTAAATAAAAAATATGTAATTTTCTTTACAAATGTTCATGACACTACCATTCTAAACAAAAAAGTGAGTTTTATTTCTGCATACATAAAGATAACCTTGCAAATCCACTCTATTGTACTTGCTTTTGCATGAATCTTGTTTGTGATATCTCCACAATAATGTAACCAAATTATTTTCCAGGTAACAAGGCCTACAACGCTTTATCGCTTAAGTAAATCCATTGTCGACAAGTTTCAACTATTGTAGTTTTAGACCATTATCTTTGTATGTAAATATGTTACAAAATGAAAGCTATGTGTATCACGACATTATTTTTAAACCGCAACTTATTCCAGTAGCGACATCAGAAGTGAAGGCAGTTTAAATAGGCTTATTTCCCGAAAAATTGTATTATTTAACTCTTTACGGAAGTTTGTTTATTTCACTGTTAAAGTTGCACCCTATATTTAAATAGATCTTAATAATTAGGAGTTTCGTTCACAATTTTACGAAACAGATAACTTCGGACTTTGGAATATTTAGATATATTTACTTTTGTTAAAATTCATAAAAATCTTAAACCAAACAATTCGCGATTTTTTGCAGCGTCTACTGGAATTTCAATACTCTCCACGAAGCTCTTTTTTTTATTTTTGGGTGATAGTTCGCAGTACTGGTAATTATTTAACTGAATCTAAACAGGTATTTCTAGAAGCGTGATACAAATAATCTTGTTTTTAATCTTCACTTAATATATTTATAAATGTAAACACATCCACTTTTTGCAAACATATGTAACAAACGATTAAATTATAGGTAGTAGGCTTGCACTGACCTTGAAACATTCACCTACATTTACTGCAGTTATACCCAGAAATAGAAAACTATCGTTCACTTATGGTGTTAATTTAAGTAAAAATAGTCACCGTACAATACCGCAAGCAAACAAAATTAGTCCATTATACCGTTTTTTTTTGTCTTCAAAGTTCCATGACTCCAAAAACATAAATTCGTCAACTATCAAGAACACAAATCTGATTTAAAGCCGTCTAACAGAATGTACATAAGCTACCTTTTACCCTTCTGTGACTGATCTGTCAGATGAGTGACAGCCACACTTCTAAATGTATTAGTTGCAAAATTTTCATGTCTAATATTAACCTACATAAATACATCATCCTTTCAACAAAAACTCGAGATTTTCCAAGTTATCAAAATAATATACAGAGATCATGTCGGCATATTTCATCACAAATATCGGGCGAACAACATAAATTGTAATCGAGTCATCCTTGAAATTCAATTCGTATGTCTACTCTGAAATTACATATTTAACGTTGCGTTTAAACCTATACCACACAGAGAAATAATCTTTACATTAGAACAGTTCTTTTCAGAAATTTATTTGCGTGTTTGTACATTCACTCAAAAATTGCATTTTTTATTGGAGTAGAAAGCGTTCAC